GAGATGATTATACACGTGGACCTCGCCAGATGGAATACACAGAAATCAAATTGACTAGATCTGTGGAAAGAGACAATGGTAAAGTTCCATATCATCAGCCAAAACAAGGTGAGGGACAGATTGTGGAACACACCATCAATTGCTCATATGCAAATTCAAACTAAAGCTAAAGAAAATGAAAACAAGTCCATGAGAGTCAAAATATGACCTTGAATACATCCCACCTGAATTTAGAGATCATCTGAAGAACAGATTTGATACATTAAACACTAAAGACCAAAGACCAGAAGAGTTGTGAGATGACATCAAGAATATCATACAGGAAGAAAGCAAAAGGTCATTAAGAAGATAAGAAAGAAGGAAAAGATCAAAATGGATGCAAGAAGAGACACTGAAAATTGCTCTCCAGTGTAGAAATGTTAAAGCAAATGGAAGAAATGAGGAGGTACAAGAGCTGAACAGAAAATTTCAAAGGTCAGCTTGAGAAGACAAAGACAAATATTACAACGAAATGTGCAAAGGTCTGGAGTCAGAAAACCTAAAGGACATAAGGTAAGATTTCTGTCAATGCACTATTGCAGCTGTTTTTGAATTATTATTAGGAAAATTTTACTTGCATGTGATGTTAATGATATTGTTTGATGATTTCTGCATTCCATTGTGTTACCTCTCTGTTGTTGTTGTTGTTGTAAGTGCCGTCGAGTCGGTTCCACCCATAGCGACCCTGTACAGGGTTTCCGAGGGTGTAAATCTTTACGGGAGTAGAAAGCCTCATCTTTCTCCCATGGAGCGGCTGGTAGTTTCGAACTGCTGACCTTAAGGTTCACAGCCAGATTCGTAGCCACTACGCTACCAGAGCTCCTTGGATGGGCACAAATAAGGCTGGGTCTTCCAAATTTCTTGGCATAGATGAGTGAGTGCTTCCAGTGCTGCATCAGTTTGTTGAAAGAATTCAATTTGTAGTCCATCAATTCCTTGTGCCTTGTTCTTTGCCAATGCCTTCATTGCACCTTCAACTTCTTCCTCCGGTATCATTGGCTCTTGATCATATGCTACTTCCTGTTATGGTTCAACATCAATTGCTTCATTTTGGTACAGTGACTCTGTGTATTCCTTCCATCTTCTTTTGATACTTTCTGCATTGTTCAATATTTTGCCCATTGTTGTTGTTAGGTACCATCGAATTGGTACCAACCCATAGCGACCTTATGCACAGCAGAATGAAACACTGCTCGATCCTGGGCCAACCTCACTACTGTTGCCACACTTGAGTCTATCGATGCTGCCACTTGGCCAATCCATGTCGTTTGAGGTCTTCCTCTTTTTCTCTGACCCTCCACCTTACCAAATATGATATCCTTCTCCAGCAACTGGTCTCTAGAATCTTTCAGTAACGAAAGTCAAGGCTTGAAGTTTTTCTTCAGTTCTCTCAGCTTGAGAAATGTTGAGTGTGTTCTTCCCTTTTGATTTTCTAACTCCAGGTCTTTGCACATTTCATTATATTTGGCTTTGTCTTCTCAAGCTGCCCTTTGAAATTTTCTATTTAGCTCTTTTATTTCCTCATTTCTTCCATTTGCTTTAGCATCTCCACGCAGGAGAGCAAGTCTGAAAGTCTCTTCTGACATCAATTTTGGTCTTTCCTTCTTTCTTATCTTCTTATTGACCATTTGCTTTCTTCCTGTATGATGTTCTTGATGTCATCCCATAACTCTTCTGGTCTTCAGTTGTTAGTATCTAATGCACAAAATCTGTTTTTCAGATGATTTCTAAATTCAGGTGGGATATTTTCAAAGTCATATCAATTTCAGTCTGAATTTGCATGTGAGCAATATCCCACAGTTTGTCCCTGGCCTTGTTTTGGTTGATGATATGGAGCTTTCCCACTGTCTCTTTCCACAGATGTAGCCAATTTGATTTCTGTGTATTCCATCTGCTGAGGTCCATGTATATAGTTATCTTTTATGTTGTTTACAAAAGGTATTTGCAATGAAGAAGTCACTGGTCTTGCAAAATTCTATCATGCAATCTCCAGCATTGTTTCTTATCACCAAGGACATATTTTCCAAATACTGATTCTTCTTCTTTTTTCCAACCTTCACATTCCAATTGCTAGTAAATATCAACACATTTTGATTGCATGCTTGACCAATTTAAATCTGAAAAAGTTGGTTGAATTCTTCAATTTGATCACCACTGGCTTTAGTGTTTGGTGCATTAATTTGAATAATAGCTGTATCAACTGGTCTTCCTTGTTGTTATTGTTGTTAGGTGTCATTGAGCCGGTTCCAACTTGTAGTGACCTTGTACAGGGTTTTCGAGGAATGGTTGGTGAAGTTGAACCTCCGACTTTGCAGTTCAAACTGGCCTTTCGGTCCAGTGCATTATCCCACAGTGCCATACCAGGACTCCATGTCTTCCTTGTAGGCATATGGATATTATCCTATCACAGACAGTATGGTACTTCAAGGCAGATTTTGAAATGTTCTTTTTAATGATGAATTCAATGCCCTTCCTCTTCAATTTGTCATTCCCTGCATAGTAAACCATGTGGTTATCAGATTCAAAATGACCAATACAAGTCCATTTTAGCTCATTAATGCCTAGGATATTGATGTTTATGCACCCATTTCATTTTGAAATTTTCCAAATGTCCTAGATTCACACTTCATACATCCCATGCTCCTATTATTAATGGATGTTTACAGTTATTTCTCTTCATTTTGAGTTGTGCCCCATTAGCAAATGAAGGCCCCCAAAGCTTTACTCCATTCATCATCACGGTCAACTCTACTTTGAGAAGGCAAACTTTCCGTTTAGTGCCTTCCAACATGAGGGGCTCATCTTCCAGCATTACATCTGACTCAATAGCACTTAACAACAACAAAGTTATAACAGGATTACCACAAATAGATGGCTTTTGTTGTTATTGTTAATACCATTGAGTTGGTTCCAACCCATAGCAATCCTGTATAGGGTTTCTCAGGAGCAGCTGGTGAGCTTGATTTGCCAACCTTGAGGTTTAAACCGACTTTGCAGCCCAGAACATTAACCCACAGCGTCACACCAGGACACTTTAATCCTCAAACTGATAGCTTTGTTCCTGAACACTTTAAAGCAGTCTTGTGCAGCAGACTTGCCTAATGTAATGTCATTTGATTTCTTGACTGCTACTTTCATGTTGTTGTTGTTGTTAAGTGCCGTCGAGTCGGTTCCGACCCATAGCGACCCTGTACAGGGTTTCCGAGGGTGTAAATCCTTACGGGAGTAGAAAGCCTCATCTTTCTCCCGCGGAGCGGCTGGTAGTTTCGAACCGCTGACCTTAAGGTTCGCAGCCCGATTCGTAACCACTACGCTACACTTTCATAGAGAAGTATTAATGGCAAGGGAACGCTTCTTTTCTAAGATACATTTTCTATGGTGACTGTTTCTTATGTAATAAACAAAATACAAATGTTTAGAAATTTTTTTGGATTAAGTTATTGAAATCCTAAATTTAGTATATATATCCTCCATCTAAAACCTTTTCCCAAACTGTGGGACTGAGATGTGTGTACTCAATGTCATTAAAGCACTGAATTTCAAAACAAGCACCCTTTTCCATACTGAGAAAGACCATAATGCAAAGAGGAGAATGACAAGTTGTTTCCATCATTCTTAACCCCTCTAATTCTTCTTAGGAAAAGTTATTTATTTTTGTAAATAACTCATTTCAAAAGTGGCGTTTTGGACACTGGCTTTCCTAGCCAGTTTTCCTAAGACCCAGCTTCCTCCTGTCGGAACTCACCATTGTTTGCATTAAACAGGACAAGTAGACTGGAGCTTACTTGTTCTCAACCCTCAAGGAGTTTTTTAAAAAGAAGTCTAGGGCAAATGACCTCAAGGTTAGTCTGAAATTCCATTTTGGGTTCATTGCAGCCTTCTTTGAGCACCTGTGGAGCACATCAATTCAGGGTAATTACTTTATTGGAGCCCTTTAGATAGGCTTGGATTCCTGTCTTGCTTCCCCCATACCCTCCAGCGGTCACTGAGTCAGATCCTGCTCTGCATCACAAGCCTAGGACTGCAGTCTTTATGCCCTGAGGTCAGTGCAGTGTGGGCGGGGTGGAAGTCAGTGTGGGCAGGGCCCGTTAGTCTCTGACCTAGAGCTTTAAAAGCTTGAAGGATGGTCCCAGACCAGGACCACAGACTTCAGACACCCTGGTTTACCTGCTTGTGTTGCCTGAGCCTGCAGGAGCTACTTTCTCTGCAGGTGAGCACTCTGGCTGGGGTCTAGAGGCAACTGAGACAGACCTAGGAGGAGGGACCCCTGTAGGGACACCAGTGTGGCTGCAGCTGCCACCCAGGGAAAAAAGCATCTGCCTGAGGCTGGAGAGATCCGCTTCAGACTGGCCCCCATCCCTGTTGGTCCAGGTTAGGGTTGAGAGGGAGGTGGTTGGGGAAGTCTTGGTGGCTGAACCTACCCCAAGGTGGTCCAGAGCAAGTTAGGCAAGATTGGCCCAGTAGGCAGCTGTGCCACAGTATCCTACTCCCACACTGTGCTGTCTCTGTGCCTGCTCTGATCCATGTACAGTAACTTGACTGTACATGCCAGGGTTTGTGAGATGAAGGGGATGTTGTTGGGGATACTGGTGACCCAATGTGAGGATAGAGTTCTTCTGTGGCACTGTAGGATAATTGCTGGACTGCTAAGCACAAGGTCAGTGATTCAAAGCTGCCTACCACTCCTCAGAAACCCTTATACAGGATCACTGACTCGATGGCACTGACAGCAACAGCCATGTGAGGATGGTGGAGCGGTGGGGGCACCCCTTCCCCTCTTTTCTGGGAAAGCTCTTCAGTCCGTATCTTCCTCCCACAGTCTTTGCATAAATCCTGGGAAGATAATTTAAATATTTTTTCTTCTCCTTGGTAGTTGTAACTTTTCAGGAGGTAGTAAGTTGGCTCTTTAAAAAGTTGGTTAATCAGATACTCATTTCTTTTCCATTGTTAGGTTTTGAAACATGAATCCTTCACTCTTTCTGGCTGCCCTTTGCATGGGAATAGCCTCAGTTGCTCTAAAACATGATCAGACTTTAGATACAGAATGGTACCAGTGGAAGTCAACACACAAGAAACTATATGGCATGGTTAGTATCACCTGAAACTGCCCAAAGGGATCCCAGATAGAATGGTCCTTGCTGGTTGCAAGTTGGCAGCCAGACAAGTTTTTCTAGAGGACAGCTCTCATGAAGACCCATTGTTGTATGCAGAGTGGTTTGCACATGTCCCTGCTATGTCAGATCTGGGAGAAGAGCACTCCAAGGCTCAGAGCTGTCTTTGGCCATGGTCTCTTCCAGCTACTGATCCACTTGTTGAAGAGGGTTGGGTTTTAAGTGGGAACAAAGACAATCAGTTACGTTTGCTTCTAGAATGAAGACAGTTGGAGGAGAGCAGTATGGGAGAAAAACGTGAAGATGATTGAACTACACAATCGGGAATACAGCCTAGGGAAACATAACTTTACAATGGCCATTAATGCCTTTGGTGACATGGTGAGTGTGGCATTTATTGATTGTGGATTATGAAACTCTTTGCACTTCCTTGCCTCAGTACATTAGCAAAATACTCTCCTGCGTTTTCACCATTTCATTTACTTTCTTTGAAGACCAATGAAGAATTCAGACGAATAATGAGTGGCATTCAAATCAAGAAACATAATGAGAAGGGCATATTCCATGAACGTTCGTCTGGTGATATCCCCAAATCTGTGGACTGGCGTAAGAAAGGCTACGTGACTCCTGTGAAGGCTCAGGTATGTCATGATTCAGATTCAGATCCATCTCCAATATTAAAGCCAAAATAGAACTGACCTCTTTGCCACTCAATGGAGAGACATACAATTGGCATTTTCTTTTTTATTTATAGAGTGTTGAGATTTGTGGTCTATTGTCAGTCTTTCTGTTTTGTCTTGTAAACTGAAAATTGTTAAAATTATCTTTTCAGGGTCATTGTGGTTCTTGTTGGGCCTTTAGTGCAACTGGTGCTCTTGAAGGACAGATGTTCCGAAAAACTGGCAAACTTGTTTCCCTCAGTGAGCAGAACCTGGTGGATTGCGCTCGACAAGGCAATTATGGCTGCAATGGTGGCTACATGAATAATGCTTTCCAGTATGTTAAGAACAACAGGGGCCTTGATTCAGAGAAAGGCTATCCATATACTGCAACGGTAAATGGAGCTTCTTATCTGGTTCTCGTTCCAAATCTTTGGATGGGAAGTTGAATATTTTCAAGGATAAAACACTTTATTCAGTCAGCTCTCACATTTCAGATGGTAGAATCTATATCTGCAGCTGTCAGAACTGTCACTATACATTGTTAGCTTTTACTGAATTCTCTGATTAGACAGTACACAGCTAGAGGATGGTCTATGTAATGTGGAGAATACATTTCTCCAAAGAGAGAACAAAGGCACGATTTACTGGTTAGAACACATAATGCTCCTCTCACTAAATCCTCTCTAGAGGAATCTCACTGGGGAGACAGTAGCTGAACTTTTTATTTCAGACTCACCAATTGCAGTTCACTTCTTGCTGCTACTTTATAACCAGATTGACTTGAAAATCATTAAGATACAAATTATTGAGTCTTGAGATCCTAAAGCTCATCTTCACCCAGAGGTGGGAAGTAGTAATTGTGTTTCTTTCTTGTTTACCTGTAAAAGGATCACAACGTTTGTCACTACAAGCCTGAGTATTCTGCTGCCAATGTCACTGGCATTGTGAACATCCCTCATAATGAGGGTGCACTGATGGAGGCGGTGGCAAGAGTGGGTCCCATTGCTGTTTGTATTGATGCAACTCAGGATTCCTTCAGATTCTACAGATCAGGTAGGCATCTTTCTTTTGTTGTCAAAATTAGGCAGATAAATTAAGAAACTACTGTGCAATGCCAGTGTGACCAACTCTTTTGCGTGTAGAATTCAGTGAAGAATTTTGAGTGGATTCATTAAACAGTCTGTATATTCTATATTTGTATATGATGTTTCCATTTGACATCACTTTAAGCATTGTTCCCATGAGAGCAAGTACTTTTGGAATGGCTACATAATTAAGTCCATAAATCTGCTGTTAACTAGTTAACTATACCTTGTTTCATTACAATGATGATAATCCCCTCCATGTTCCATCAGTTAACAGGATTTCTCTCTATCCACTTTAGCTCCTTAAAAAAAAAATTTTTTTTAAACACTCAGGTATGTATAATAATTTACACCACCAAAAGGCACATTCTGCAAGTCTGCCTCCTGGCCGCCAGCTCTCAGTCCCTCTCTTTCCATGAATCTAGAGTCCTCAGTTGCTCCCTCTCTTCATGTCCTCATCTCTGGTGTCGCTACTTCTCTGGATAGGGTCCTGCATTCCATTTGTGCTCTTCTCCCTTGATGGTCTTCGGGTCCTCTGTTTCTGGAATGTAAGGTTAACTACTCCCACGTTTTTGTTACCAAACGCCTACGTTTACAATTGTGACAGTCGTAATTAGTTAGTCATGATAACAATTACTGGCTGATCCTTTTTCAATGGCTGGCTTTTCAGAAGTTTATCATTAGGCTTGCAACCGGGTGATTAGAAGCCAAAACTATTAAACAGTTTGCACCACTCAAGGATTTCCATTGATTTTATAGATCTCTAGCTTATTTTACTTTTCCTACTATTGCTGGACTGATAAAATTTTTCCAAAGGGTTTTTACTTCTGTAAATAAAACTGAAAAAAAATCCCTTGGCTATTTTTGCATTCTGAGTTATTTCCTTACAACGGCATACAGGGAGTAGAATATCAAAAGAATCAAACCCACTCTTCGATTCAGACTCATAGTGACCCTCTAGAGGGTTTCCAAGACTGTACATCTTTATAGGAGTAGACAGCCTCATCTTTCTCCCCAGGTGGATCTGAACCGCCAATCCTGAGATAGCAGCCCAACACCTAATCTACAGCATCACCAGGGTTCCTTATAGAATACTCACTGCCATCAAGTCAATTCGGATGCATAGTGACCCGGTATAGGGTTTCTGAGGCTGTAAACCTTTATGGGAGAGAAAGCCTATTTTCTCCAAGGGGCAGTGGCTGGTTGGTTTTAACTCCAATCTTAAGGTTAGCTGTCCAGTGCTTATCCTCGAGCGACACTAGGGCACTTTCCTTATAGGACATTGTTGTTGTTTAGTTCCATCTAGTCTGTTACAATTCATAGAGACCCCATGTAGGGTTTCCAAGGAGCAGCTGGTACATTTGAATTGCCAACCTTGCTATTAATTTTTGGTTAGCAGTTCAGTGTTGATCTGCAACACCACACCAGAACTCTCCTTGGAGAATGACAAGGTTTAAAAGAGTAGTCTTTTATACCTCTTAGAAAGTTGTTTACCAAAGGGATAATGCTAATTTGTATTTCTGTTATTCTTAGACTAAGGTATAAATCCACAGAGTTTTGATAAAAATGAGTCTCATCTGCAATTATGATGCTTCCCTGATTTTCAAGATGCTTCCCTTAATGTGGTTGATAGTGTGAATTAGAGTGTCTCATGCCAACATTTATTTCTCTTCCAGGCATTTATTCTGATCCCAAATGCAGACATAATTTGAACCACGCTGTCCTTGTGGTTGGCTATGGTTTTGAAGGACCAGAATCAGATAACAATAAATATTGGCTTATCAAGAACAGGTAAAAAAAAAAAAAAGTTAAATATTATACATGTAATTGAAATGGAAAAGGGATTTTCTGTTTGGATATAGGTCCACAAGCTCTTAAGCACAATTCTAAGTTCCAGAAGACTTCCTCCTTCTTAGAGTGTTATAGATTGAATTGTTGTCATTGTCATTAGGTCCCATCTAGTCAGTCTGACTCATATGTTTAACAGAAAGAAACACTATCCAGTCCTGCGCTCTTCTAACAATTGGAATGCTCGAGCCCATTGTTACAACCACTGTGTACATGTATCTCATTGAGTGTCTTCCTCTTTTATCGCAGAACCTCTACTTTAGTAAGCATAATATCCTACTCCAGGGACTGGTCCCTTCTGATAACATGAGAGGAAGTCTTACCGGCCTCACTTCTAAGTGGCATTCTGGCTGCTCCGCTCCCAAAGCAGATCTGTCTGTTCTTAGTATAGTCAATGTTCTTCATCAATTCCATAATTCAAATGCATCAATTCTTCCTTATTCATTGTCACATGCATATGAGGCTATTGAAAATACCATGACTTGGGTCATGTGCACCTTAGTCTTCAAAACAACTACTTGCACTTTAACACTAAAGAGGTCTTTTGTAGCTGATTTGCCTGCCCAGTGCAATATGTCATTTGAGTTCCTGACTACAGCGCCCATAAGTATCAATTCTAGATCCCAAAAAAATGAAATCCCTGACAATTTATATCTTATCTCCATTTATCATGATGTTGTTTATTAGTTCAGTTGTGAGGATTCTTGTTTTCTGTACATTGAGTGGTAGTCCATACTGAAGGCTGTATTCTTTGATTTTTTATCAGCAAGTACCTCAAGTGCTCATTACTTTAAGCAAACAAAGGAGCCTTTCTCCAATCCTGATGCCACATTCTTCTCCATATAGTCCAGCTTCTTGGATGATTTGCTTAGCACACAGATGGAATAAGTATGATAATCAGTAATAAGAACCCATACCTTTCCTGATTTGAGACCATTCAGTATCTTCTTGTTCTGTTCTAACAACTGCTTCTTGGTCTGTGTTCACGCACTGCATGAGCACAATGAAAGTGTTCTGGAACTCCTACTCTTTGCAGTGTTATCATAGCTTGTTGTGATCTACACAAATGCTTTTGCTTAGTCAATAATACACAAGTAATCGTCTTCCTGGTATTATCCGCTTTCAACCAGGATCCATTAGACATCAGCAATGATAGCCCTAGGTTCATGTCCTCTTCTGAATCCAGGTTTAATTTCTAGCAACTCTCTATCAATGTACTGCTGCAACAGTTTTTAAATTATATTAATCAAAATTTTACTTGCATATGTTTGGTGATTTCCACATTCTATTGGGTCACCTATGAATGGGCACAAATATGGATCTCTTCCAGTCAGTTGGCCACGTAGTTGTCTTCTAAATTTCTTGGCATACTAGAGAGTACTTCCATTTCAATTTGTATTCCACCAATCCCTGGAACCTTGTTTTACATTAATTCTTTCAAAGCAGTTTGGTCTCCCTTCAATGCTACTGGTTCTTGATCATATTCTACCTCTTGAAATAATTGTCAAATAATTATTTTTAGTTAGTGACTGTCTATTCCTTCCATCTTCTTTTGATGCTTCCTGCATCATTCAATGTGCTGCCCATAGAATCCTTTAATATTGCAACTCAGGACTTGATTTTTTTTCTACAATTCTTTCAGCTTGAGAAATGCTGAGTTTGTTCTTCCATCTTGGCTCTAGAACTCCCGGTCTGCACTTTTCTTTGCCTTGTCAAGCTTCAATTCAAGGGAAATTTTCTGTTCCAGTTCTTTTATTTTAGCATTTCTTCAAGTCAGTTTAGCTTTTCTACACTCAAGAACAAGTTTCAGAGTCTCTTCTGACATCCACTTTGGTCTTTTCATATGTGATGTTCTTGATTTTGCCCTTCAATTTGTCTGGTCTTTGATCATTAGTGTTCAAGTATCAAATCTGTTCTTGAAATGGTCTCTAAATTCATGTGGGAAACACCAAAGGTCATATTTTGACTCTTGTTGTTGTTGTTGTTGTGATGTGCTGTTGAGTTGGTTCTGACCCACAGCAACCCTATATAGGGTTTCTGAGGAGCAACTGGTGAGCTTGAACCACTGACCTTGCAGTTCAAATGGCTTTGCAGTCTGGTGCATTAACTCACAGTGTCACACTAGTACTCCAAGAATTAACCAGGCCAGATCCTGCTTAGCTTCAGAGGTCAAACAAGATCGGGCACATTCAGGCTGGTATGGACCTATGTAGACATGCTTTAATTGTTTTTAGCTTCAGTGTGAACTTGCATATGAGTAAATTGATGGACTGTTCCACAAATGACCCCTAGCCTTGTTTTAGCTAATGGTAGTGAGTTTCTTTGTTGTCTCTTCCCACAGATGTAGTCAATTTGTATTCCGTCTGGTAATGTTCACGTGTATAATCACCATTTATGTTGCTAATAAAATTCTTTGCAATAAAGAAGTTGTTGGTCTTGTAAAAATTCATGTGATCCCAACATCATTTCTATCACAAGACCATATTTTTCAATTACTGATCCTTCTTCCTTGTTTCCAACTTTCACATTCCTATCACCAATAATTATCAATGCATCTTGACTGCATGCTTGATCAATTTCTGACTGAAGAATTTGGTTGAATTCTCCAATTTCTTCATCATTGGCTTGGGTGGTTGGTTCATAAATTTTAATAATAGTTCTATTAATTGGTTTTCCTTGTAGGTGTGTAGATAATAACATATCACAGATAACATTATATTTCAATATAGATCTTAAAATGTTCTTTTTGAAGATGAATTTGATGCCATTCTTTTTTAATTTGTCATTCCCAGAACAGTAATCTGTACGATTATCTGATTTTAAATGGACATGTCCATTTCAGCTCACTAGGGCCTAGGATAGCAGTCTTAATGAGTCCTATTTCATTTTTGATGACTTCCAATTTTCCTAGATTTATTAGACTTTGTACGTTCCATGTTCTCTTTATTAATGAATGTTTGCTGTTTCTTCTTTTTGTGAGTTGTGTCACAGCAGCAAATTAAGGTCCTGAACATTTTGCTCCATCACGTCATTAAAGCTGATTCTACTTTAGGAGGCAGCGATTCCTCAGATGTATTTGAAGTGTCTTTCAACTGGAGAGGCTCATCTTTCAGCGCTATATCAATGTTTCACTGATACTCATAAGGCTATTTCCTCAGATGTGGACTGCCTGTTCTTTCTCTGTTATAGTCTGGAAGCTCCACTGGACCCTGTCCACCATGGGAGACCCTGTTTGTATTTGAAGCACTGGTGGCCTGGCTTCCAGTGTCACATCCCCTATAATTGGCACCTTGAATTCAGACTTCTAGCCTGTTCAACCATGAGAAAGCCAGTTTCTGTTTGTTAAAGTCACCTGGTGCAGTGCTGCAGGGTCATGTGCTTGAACAGCAAGATTGGTTGTTCAGCTTACCAGCTGCTCCTCAAACCCCATACATGGTCACTATGAGTTGAAATTGACTCAACAGCCCTTAACAACAACAAAAGCCACCTACTTCTGGTAATATTGTTAAAGCTTTGCTGTTGTTGTTAAGGGCTGTTGAGCCAGTTCAGCTCATTGTATAGGGTTTCAGAGGAGCATCTGGTGGGTTTGAACAACGGACCTCAGGATTTGCAATCCAGTGTTTATACTATATCACCGCACCAGGACTCCCTGTTACAGCAGCACTAGATAATTACAACAGAGAAATATGTGTTTACAAGTGTCTGTCTCCAGCTTGCTATGTAGTATTAACATGGTATTTTTCACATTATATTTCTTAATGCTGAAAGACCTGGTCCTAAGGTTTCTCTTCTTAGTTCCATGAAAGGTCATCGATTGAGGCTGGTATATACAAGTTAGGTTTAGGTATCAACAATTTATACTTGGCAAACACCTGCCTTTCCTAATTCTCTTAAGTGTAAAAGACCAATGGCCTCTGTCCCACTGAAAAATTTTAACAATAATAGTAAGTATAAGATGTCATTGTTAACAAAACTAAAATGTCCATGATATTTCACATAACAAGAAAACCCTGCTCTTATTTCAGCTGGAGTAGTAGTTGGGGCCTACATGGCTACATAAAGGTGGCCAAAGATCGGAACCTCTGTGGAATTACTGACTTGGCCAGTTACCCCACAGTGTGATATGATGTACCTGGATGACAACGGTCCAGGGCCAACCACCATCCTCCAAGGACATCATCTGCAACTGACCTGCCCTGCTTGTCTGAGATAAAATGCTTGAATCATTGATCATTCAAGTTGTGATTTGAATTCTGTGACATTTTATATTAACTCTACTTTAATTACTGCTGTAAACAGTTTTGCAATACTGACTTGTTATTTAATGTTAAGACTTTTGAGTTTTCATTTTAGAAAGAATAATGTATAGAAAGTCTGGCTTTTTAAATAAAACTTACATTTCATGTGTTGAGGAGGGACTTCTTTGTTTCTTTGCATTAACTGTCATGTAGTAGAAACGTTGTTGGGCTATGAAGGCATAACTGAATGTGCCCACAGCATATCAGGAGGAAGGCACAGGATGACCTCTAGATTTCTAGTTATGAATTGGCCGGCATTTTCAGTTCCTGTCTGACCCAACTCTTGAATGGAGCAAATTTTGATAGATGATCTAGAAGGACCCATCTCAATTGTTTAAAGAAAATAGAAACTTAACTAGAAAATTTTAAATTAATGAATTAATTAAAAATGTAATTACCAGTGATTTAAATACTCGAAAAGCACCTTAAAGATTGTCTTTGCTTGACACAGGATGATCATAACTCAGTGAGGTTACAGGCAGTTTCTGAAACATCTTCCCAAATTACTGGTAAAGACCACATGGTTGAGTAAAGACCAGACACTGGTAGATTTCAAAAGCTGTTTGGTCTTTGCTGGTAATAGCTAGAGAAATGGGTTTATGGTCCAGAAACATAAACTTCCATGTTTGGGGCTGGGATTGAAAAAGAGTCCTCTGGCTGAAGGTGAAGAAGTGAAAGGGACAAGAGGTAAAGAGATACTTAACCCTTAGCATTCAACTACTAACCATGAAATGTTGGGGGCTTGATCCCACCCAGAGACACCTCAGAAGAAAGGCCTGCTAATATTAAAAACTCTCGAGTGCAGTTCTACTCCGTACACACAAAGATGCCGTGAATCAGAATCAACTTGATTGCAACTAGCTAATCCCTAAGTGGAAAAGAAAAGTAAGCAGAAAAATCTACCTACATTCGGCACGCTTTTCAAAGTCTCTTTTTCCATTCAGGAAGAAAACCTCTGTAACCTCTGTCTGCCCAAGTCCATTTGTGTTGGGTCATGTGACAACTCAAACTTTTTACCTAAACTGACAGCTGTTGCATCAGGAGGGAGACTCTTTGGAGTTTTATAATAATGCTAGCAAGTGTGGTTGCCAAAAGACTTGAGAGGCTCCCAAGGTTGAACACTGTCTGGGAGGGGACTTAGATTTGGTAAGAACTAGAATTCCTATAACACCCACTATGTGCCCGTCAATCATCACAACTGGAAGAGACAGTCTCTGATCTCAGGAGCTGGGTGCTATGAGTCAGAGCCAAGTGGTCAGCGCAGACTCCCAGAAGGAAGGGAAATGTAACAAGAGCCCAGAGAAGGAGCCAGTCTAAAAGGGAAAAGGGTTGTCTTAGTAGAGACTGGCAAGTTGGAGCCGAGATGAGACTTTGCGTGGAGAACCTGCACTGGTAATGTATTGATGGGTCTGGGGCCAGGGATGAGGGACACAGGAGAAAGACTGTACTGCTTACTGATTGCTGTAAAACAAACCACCCCAAAACTCAGAATCTCAGAGGAAACAAACTTTTCTCTTTTACATTTCTTGACTTGGGCTGTACTAAGCACTTTTCGCGTATCTGATGGTAGATGTTGACGCTAGTTACAAGTTCAGCTAGGTGGTTGACCAGATCACCAACATGTAGTATGGGCTTCTCTCAGCATGAAGGTTGGGTTTCAAGAGGGAACAAATCCAGCCTAATAAAAGTGCCAAGACAACTGAAAGGGTTTTTATGACCTAGGTAGAGCAGTAGCTAAAATGCTCCGGTGCTGACTGATATGCGTGTGTAGTCGTGGGATGAGGGGAAGGGGGAAATGAGGAATTGAACCCAGGCTGCTCTGTGAGAGAATGATGAGGCAGTCTGCTTCCATAAAGGTTTACTCCTTGGAAACTATGGGGCGGTTCTTCTCTGTCTTAGGTGGTTGCTATGGATTTGAATAAACTCAATAGCAATGGGTTGGACTTTATTTCTTTTGAACCCAAAGAAAACTGCTGCTGAGTTCTGTTGGGCAGACAAGATTCCTTCTTGATTGGGAAGTGGCAAGGCCATTTGGGATGGAAGATACCACCATGCCATCTTAATAAATAACACCTGCCACATTTTCTAGGAACTTTCTCCAATAAAGAACTTCTTTGTGACTCATCTTGTTTTTCCACAAGAGGTTAGCTCAGAGTGCTGTCCATGGACTCCTGGAACTGAAGCCTAAGAGTCTAAGGAAACTTATAGGTGCTGAGCTGAGTCAAAAGGTGAAGCCCACTCAAAAGTTTAAACTATAACACAGATATCTGAAGTTCATATAATGTTCAAAGACATTAATATTTATTTAAATTTGTAAATGTACTAATGTGTATCTCTGCTCTAAAAGCTTTTTAAAGAAAGAACAAAATGGACAGGAAATAAATAGAGCTGAAACCAAATTTTGATTGCCATGAAAGTCTAGTCTGAAGTACAAACAACCAGTTATCTCCTTTATTCTAGACATCATCATAGTTTCTCATCCTCCTTAAATTGTCGAGGAAGCAAATGACTCAATAAATTATGGGGAGAAATTTGTGTTATGCAGCTGTAACACTTGAAAATCTTAGAAGTGGGAAAAAACTAAAGTAATTAAGAACTCCCATTTATAACAGCAGAGCCCTGGTGTGGTGTTGTGGGCTAATGCTCTGGACAGCAAAGTCAGTTTGAATCACAGAGTCAGAGGTTCAAGCTCACCAGCCACTCCTTAGAAATCCTATTCAGGGTCGCTATGGGTCGGAACTGACTTGGTGGCACTTAACAACAATTTATAGCAACAAGTATATTTCAATTACCACCACCAAAGTACATTTATAACTCTTATGACAGTTTGCCTGTTTTGCCTAGATTTTGTTAAGTGCTGTCAAGTTGATTCCAACTCATAGAGACCTGTATAAAGCTTCTAAGGGGCAGCTAGTGGATTTCAACTATTGATCCTACAGCACCACACCGGGAGTCTTGATTTTATAGTTGAAGAAGTTAATGGTAAAACCACATTTTTGTGTTTTTAAATTTGAAATTGAATTTGAAATTCACTGATTTCTGATATTTCAAACTCATTTCTCTTTTATTGACATAAAAGTATAAACAGAAAGATAAAAGCATTAAGAACTTGTGAGCGTCCATCTCAGGTGCAACTATTGGTCTCTCCTTATACAAAGAACAGTGAAGAAAATCAAAGACACAAGGAAACAACACACTCCAGTCTCCATGACCCTGAGAGCAGCCGAGCCAGACGGTGCTGGCTACCATTGCTAACCATTCTAGAGGGAGCATGATAGAAGGTGCTGGATAGAGTGGGAGAGAAATTAAGAATAAAACTCTGATAACAACTAGTGGAACCTCAAACACTATAGCTGTTAGACACCCTTGAGGCCTGGAACTGAACTCACCCACTGCTTTCAACCAAACAATAGACAGGCCTAGAGGGTGAACATCAGAGAGGTATGCACACCTTAAAAAGGGGTTAACAATGAATGCGACACCACTCCTTTTTAATTTGTCATTCCCACATAATAAACAATATGAGTGTCTGATTCAAAATGACTGATCCCAGTCCATTTCAGCTCAGCAATGCCCAGATATCGATCTTTGTGTGTTCCATTTCATTTTTGACAACTTCTCCAATTTTCCTTGATTTATATTTCATTCATTCCGTGTTACAATTATTAATGGATTTTTGTAGCTGTTTCTTCTCATTTTGAGTTGCACCATGTGAGCAAATGAAGTCTAACTCTAACCATGTCATTATGGTCAACTATAGAGAGATTCCTGATGTGGTGCTATGGATAAATACTGGATACTAACCACAAGGTTGGTGGTTCAAACTCACCAGTTGCTCTTGGGAAACCCTATACAGGGTTGCTATGAGTCAGACCTGACACTATGGCACTTTACAGCAACCACAATACTTTGAGGACACGGCACTTCCCTAGTCGTATCTGAATGCCTTCCAACCCTAGGGGCTCATCTTCTGACAATATATCTGACAAGGCTCTACTGCTGCTATTCACAAGGTTTTCAGTGGCTAACCATTCAGAAGTGCATCACCTCTCCTTTCTAATTTGTCTTAGTCTGGAAACGCCTCTGAAACCCATCCATCATGGGTAACCCTACTGATATTTAAGATACCTGTGGCATAACTTCCAGCTTCACAGCAACTCACAAGCCACTCACTATAAGTAAGACAACTGACAGACAATTGGGTGGTTACATCCTTAACCCCGTCCTTATCTCTGTTTCCCATTTTCCTGCCATCATCTCCACCCTTACCCCTTCAACAAACACTCACACTTAAAACATGGCTTGGGACTTCTGGTGTGGCACTGTTAAGTCAGCACTAGACTGTGAACCACAAGGTCAGCAATTCAAACCCACCTGCTGCTCCTCAGAAATTCCATACAACAACAATAACATGGTTTAGTCTTTTATTTTTCTAACCTTTCAAGAGGTTTCAGGAAACTCTTGCTATTGTCTAATCAATACATTTTGGGTGAGGGTGTTTCCTTAAACGCTTTTGATGGACTTCAGTTCCTCATCCCATAACCCATATTGGGAAGTGTCTTCAGGATCAAGCTTCCAGACTGAGATTGCCTTGTCATCAATCATTCCATGATCTGGAGTTGATTTCTTGTTCTGTCAGATTTTACAAGTCTTAGAAAATTCATGGAGGGATACTCAGGTTTGACAAGAGCAAATGCCACTTGACCTGAATTCTGAGATTTCACACATGTTAACCCAGCAGAGGCAAGGAGGTGCTGGATCATGGGGTTATTTCAAGGTTGTTATTCAGTGCCGCTGAGTCGGTTCCAACCCTTAGTGATCCTG